GCATCTCTTCATTTGTGCCTCCTGCCATACAAGCATCTGTGGCATTAGTAGCGACAGTGGTGTGTGCTTTATCTTCTGGTACTTACTGCCTGCCTTAGGAGCTAGGAGTCTGTTTCAATTCTTCTGTTTGTTTTGTTGTTATGATAGACACTGTAACAAAAGCAATTTAAATCAGGAGGTGGTGGTGGTGTGTGCCTTAGTCCCAGCAGGCAGATCTCTGTGCATTTGAGGCCAGCCTGGTCTACAAAGCAAGTTCTAGGACAGCCAGAATTGTTACTCAGAGAAACCGTATCTCAGAGACAGAGGGGTGGGGAGAGGAAGAGGAAGAGAGAGAGAGAAAGAAAAACAACTTAAGAGAAAAAGGGTTTATTTGGACATTCACAATTCCAGGTTCAGTCCCTCACTGTGGCAAAGTTATGGTGATAGGACTTGAAGCAGCTGGTCACATGACCTCCATAAGCAAAAGCAAAGAGCAGTGGATTAATACATGCATGCCAATGCACATGTGGTTCACTTTCTCCACTCATCCAGTTCAGCATCCTTTGACTAGGGAATGGTGTCACCCACAGTGGGCAGGTCTTCCCACCTCAGTTAAAACGTAATCCTCACAGACCAGCCTAATCTAGACAGCCCCTCACTGAGATTCCCTATGCATGTGATTCTTGGTTATGTCCTGTTATTAACACCGTAGAGCCTTATGGGTAGACTTGCTTGATCTACACAGTTTGGGCTTTTTTTTGTCAGTATCCCATACGTGTGGGAGTGTCATTGTACACTCTTCAGATACCTCTACAGAAGTAGTATCAAGGATAGTACCAACACGATTCCAAAAGTTTTATTGATCATTTTCTGTGTTCAAGAAAGTGAATGAAAGGAGAGAGAGAGAGAGAGAGAGAGAGAGAGAGAGAGAGAGAGAAAGGAAGCCTGGGGTGTGGTAGGCAAAGTTGGGGGAGGAGGATGAAAAGGGACATGGAGTTGGAGATTGTAGGGATCCTGCCTTAGACTCTAGACCTGCCTGGAGGAGTGACTCCAAAAGAAGTTTGACCCGACAACCTTACAGCTCCTCTGGGGAGAATGAAAGGCACCGTGACTTCTGCTGCATTGTAGCCTTTTGGGAGAGGAGGAACAAGTAACAGCTAATGTCTACCAGTATGGAAACATGGTAGTTAGCAGTTTAAGTTTCATGGAGAGGGACATCAAAGGCCTTATCAGCATTGCCGGGAGAACTAGAAAGGATTCTATCCAGTGATTAATCTCGAGAAGAAACTGTAACAGTTAAGTAACCACAGCAGGCAATTGAAAATGGTTACAGAGTTCATGTAGTGTGGCCATTTGTATCAAGTAGTGATAAGTTATTAAGGTAATTTGGGAACCCACCTTTGTCTTTACAAATGCTTGAAGAAAAAAAAGCAACAGTGAAGCAAGTTATTGTAAGTCCAGCCAGTTTACAAATAGATAGGCCGAGAAAGGAAGAGCTGCTGGTATTTACTCGGAAAGTTATTCCTAGACACACAGATAGTACCAAGGCCGCCTGTCCAGATTGCAGAACAAATGTCTTTTCCTAAAATCCAGTCTCATTTTCAGAGAATGCACCAAGAATTTTATTTTAAGCCAGTATGTGGCTCATGCCTGTAATTGTAACTCGTGGGAGGTAGAGGCAGGAGGATCAGGCAACCTCTGTTGACCCTTAATAATTACAGGCACTGTGCTCCCCCCTCCTTCGATGCCCAGGCTCCAGCAGGCATGGCACAGTGGCTGGGGCATATACCCCCTACATTTCTTTCTTTTTTTCTTTTTTTAAAAATTATTTTTAAAGATTTATTTATTATGTATGCAGTGTTTTATCTGCATGTACCCCTGCCCGCCAGCAGAGGGCACCAGATCTCATTCTAGATGGTTGTGAGCCACCATGTGGTTGCCGGAAACTGAACTCAGGACCTCTGGAAGAATAGCCAGTGCTCTTAACCACTGAGCCATTTCTCCAGCCCCTCCCCCCGCCCGCCCCCCGCAGGGTTTCTCTGTGTAGCTTTGGTGCCTGTCCTGGAACTCACTCTGTAGACCAGGCTGGCCTCAAACTCACAGAGATCCGCCTGGCTCTGCCTCCCAAGTGCTGGGATTAAAGGCATGCACCACCACCACCTGGCCTACATTTCTTTTTTGAAGCATTGCATTCTTACATGAAGATCAGCTGCTTTCTTGCACACTCAATACCAATACCCTTCTCCTTCTCCTCTTAGTTCTGTTGAGGATGCTAACACAACCTGTGACCTTGGGTTGGTAGCTTCAAACTCCATTTCTCATCTGTAAGATGAGATATTAGTGTTTACTTTGAAAGCTTATCATACTGTTTACATGAAACATCACTTTTCAAAGGGCTTAACATGATGCTTGGCACAAAGTTGACACTAGAAAAATGGTATTTCCTCCCCTCTTTCCCATCATAAGCCTGTGCATATTTTCCCTCTTTCTGAAACAGCTTTGAGTAGCAGCCTCAAAATTCATAGTAATGTTTGGCTTCTGAAATATGCTAACTATTTTAATCATGCAACTTGGGAGTTAGTGAAGAACCATTTTCTTTCTTTCTAAAATATTTTTACTCCTTGAGAATGTCATACGATACATTTTGGGCACCCCAGTTCCTCCCAGGTCCATCCCCATCTCCCTGCACCCAGCTTCCTGTTCTCTTTTTATTCTGTTGATATCCCATGAACTTCAGTCTGTGCTGCCCTGTTCTCCTGTGTGTGGGACTCATCCGCTGGAGTATGGTCTGTCCCTGTTCTCCTGTGTGTGGGACTCATCCACTGGAGTATGGTCTGTCCCAGCAGCCACATCCTTCAAAACCAACTCTCCCTCCTTGAAAACTGAATGTCCAGAGCTTCTCAGTTAGGGGTGAGGGCTCGGGTACCCTTTTCTACTCCACGCTGCAATGTTTTCGGTGATCCTGCACAGTATGTGCAGACAACCATGACACTGAGTCCACGAGTGCCATGATCTATCATGTCTAGAAGACACTGTGACTTCGGGCTCTTACAGTTTTTTTTTTTTTTTTTGTTGTTGTTGTTGTTGTTCCTTCTTCTGTGATGGTTCCTATCCTTGGCGAGGGGGTGTGAAGATATACATGGCCCATGTGTGTGTAAGCATTCTGCTAAAACTTCTTCTCTGTACTTTGACCAGTTATGAATTTCTGGGTTAGCCATCATCCACTGCACGAAGAAACTTCACTGATGGGGGGACTGAGAGCTGTGTTGTCTGAGTAGAGAGATGCAGATCTATAGGGCAGCTTGATGCTATGTCCACGTAGGAGAATAATGGTTGGTTTTCGGCATGTGGTGGCATACATCTTTGATCTCAGCACTTGAGAGGCAGAGGCAGGCTAATCTCTGAGTTCTATACCAGCCTGATCTGCATAGTGAGTACCAGGCTATCCAAGGCTACATATTGTGACCCTGTTTCAAACAAACATAGTAGTAGATCTGCCCATGTGACCCGTGAGTCCCCCAACCATGGATTCTTGGCCAGATTTGCAGTTCCCTCCTGTATCATTACACAGGCCTTAAATCCAAGCAGAAACCAATAGATGACAGCATATTTACCTACTGTTGTACCTGTGAGCATGTATTTCCATACCAGTCATTAGTGCAGTTCACTGGGTTCATAGCCGAGGAAGACCACTGAGGTTTTCTTTTCCTCCCAGCAGCCTGTGCGGTACCTTCCAGGACTATGAAAGCTAGCCAGTAGGGAGAAAGCTTCCTGGTCAGTGCCCATGACAACTGTGGGGTGTCTTCAGCAATGTGGTCTTACCATGAAGTTCTGGTGGGTAACCAAGAGCAGTGGCAATGGCCGTATTGTTTTGGGGGGTAGTCTCATGACACCACTAGGCAGCAACTTAGGGGAAGGTACCCCCCACCTGGTAATGGCTCCAATAAGTGTATGGAAGTTTGTGTGAGCGTAGGTTTCTGTATGTCTCTTCATACATCCTTGGTTGTCCCTTCCCCAATGCCCTCCTCTGCTCGCCCCTTCCTTCTCTCTCCCAATTTAAACTCCCTCGCCATTATTCTTCTTCTTTCCTTCATGTCACCTGTGTTCTACTCTCCACTCACCCTTAAAGTCCTGGGGATCGTGGTGGTGCTGTCTTTAATCCCAGCACTCGGGAGGGAGTTTGAGGCCAGCCTGGTCTACAAAGTTGAGTTCTAGGACAGCCAGGGCTATATAGAGAAACCTTGTCTTGAAAAAACAAACAAGCAAAAAAAGGATCTCCCTTTTCCTTCCCACCAATGGTCCCTTTCTAATTTCCTGTGCCCTGAGGGTTCTCCTAACTGAGCACATACATCTTAAGATTTGATGCTAAGAGCCACACATAAGTGAGAACATGTGGTGTTCATCCTTCCGGGTCTGGGTTATCTCACCCAGTATGTTTTCTAGCTCAATCATTTCCCAGCAAATTTCATTTTTCTTTACAGCTGAGCAGAATTCCATTATAAATGTTTTACCACGTGCTTTCATTATCCGTTCATCAGTTGATGAGCATCTCAACTTTCCTAGATCCTAGCTATTGTAGACAGAGCAGTGATGAACATGGATGAGCAGGCATCTCTGTGGTAGGAAATAGAGTTCTTTGGGTGTATGCCTGGATGGTGTAATAGGGTCACATAGTGGATCTATTTCTGGTTTCCTGAGAAAATGCCACATTGATTTCCATAGTGGCTGCACCAATCTGTACTCCCAGCAGAGCATGAGGGTTTCCTGAATCCTTTTGTTTCCTTAATCTTAGCCATTCTGCCTGGGTAGCAAGGCATCTCAAAAAAGTTTTCATTTTCATTTCCTGATGGCTAAGAATCTGAGAATTTTTTTAAACAATATTTCTTAGCCATTTGTATTTCTGAGAGCCATTTTCTGATTCAAATGTGAACTCTGACTTCTGTCTCCATGATGGTTGCAAGTTGGTTGTACCCATGTGTTTACTCATGAGCTGATGTTTACAACTGCTGTTTTTCTTCCAGATGAACACCTTCCACTGACCAACAACAATGGCATTCAAGGACAGCAGCAGCAGCAGGTAAGTGTAGAGTCCAGGATTGGAAAGAATTTAACATTTAGAGTGACATTTGACTTTAGAATCTGATCCTCAAAGAAGTTCCAGCTGGGCGTGGTGCCGCCTGCCTGTAATTCCAGCACTCTGAAGTCTGAAACCAGCTCGGACCACACAGAAAGTTGTAGGTCAATCAGGGCTCCATTGAGAGACCGTGTCTCAAAAAGCCAAGCCAGTAAACCAGGCATGTTTGCGCAAGCCTTTAATCCCAACACTTGGGAGGCAGAGGCAGGCGAATCTCTGGGTGTTAGTGGGGTGTGACAGTACACACCTGTCATTCAAGGGCTAGAGAGGAAAAGGTGGGGGATTATTAGAAGTTCAGAGCCAATCAGGGACACACACTGTGGGGGAAAAGTGAGACTATTATTTAGATCATCAAATTCTGTGTTCAGAATACTGGCTTGTATGTCACTGGTTCTAGGAAACATGTACTGAGGCTGTGCCAAAACAAACGTCTTTATGTGGGCCTCAGTGGAGGGAATTCTTTAATCTTTGTCTTTTACCCCCTGTCTCTTCAACCCAGCCTGCCCAGTAGGTCTCCTGTTTGGTACAAAGTGAATTGTGTAGAGTGTGCCTACTGCCTTCATCATGTGTGTGTACTAACCAACTCTTGGACACAGTCTTGAAGAAAAATTCAGTGGACATGCAGAAAGAATTTCCAATAATGTGAATAAGTTGTTTAAACTAGCTATTCAAAAACACGTTTAAAAGAAAGAAACAAACAGCTCAATTAGTATTTATTGAGTAAGAGGGGTTGGAGCCTGAAAACTCAGGACTCCGTCTGTTCTTCTTGCTTCTTCTCCTTTGAGGATCATTTTTGGAATTCAGTGTCAGGTGATTCCGCTCTGACACCCTGCACATTCTCCTCTGCCAGCACAGAGACAACATGGGACTTCTAAGACCCGAGTGGAAAGTGCCCCATTTGTCTTTAGGTTTGGTCATAATTTTGGCTCCACATAAGTTTTGATTTTTTGCATAATGTCGTCTCCACTATAGATTGGTTTTGACTGCACTGCCAAAGGTCTTTCCTACTTCACATCTATAAGAATAATGGCCTGGACTCTTAGCTGATATTTAAGTGATTTCTGTCTTTTTCATTTCAATGAGAATTTGTAAGCTGGTGGCCTGTGGGGTGAATCTGGTCTACATGTGGGCTTTGTCTGGCCCTTCACCAACAATCTAGGTTTTCTTTCTTTTCTTTTTTCTTTTTTTTTTTTTTAGAATTTGAAGTTTTAGGAACCCCGGACTTATATGCTGTATAGCCACACTAACGTAGGATGAATACATGTGGTTCAGCACACACATTCTCCCTCTAAAAGATTTATTATTTATTGCATGTGTGTGTGTGTCTATGAGAGAGAGAGAGAGAGAGAGAGAGAGAGAGAGAGAGAGAGAGAGAGAGAGAGAGAGAGAGAGATCCAAAAGTGTGGGCTCCCCTTGGAGCTACAGTTACAGGTGGTTGTGAACTGCCGTGCGTGCGTGCGTGCGTGCGTGCGTGCGTGCGTGCGTGCGTGAGTGAGTGAGTGAGTGCGTGAGTGAGTGCGTGAGTGAGTGCGTGAGTGAGTGCGTGAGTGAGTGCGTGAGTGAGTGCGTGAGTGAGTGCGTGAGTGAGTGCGTGAGCGCGCTCTGGGAACTGAACTCAGGTCTACTGCAAGGGGCAGCATGTGCACTTAACCACTAAGCAATTTCTCCAATCCCAACCTGTTTGCATGTAGCCCAGGCTGGCCTATAGCCCAGGCTGGCTCTCTTGACCTTCCTGCTTTCACCACCTGGTACTCTATGGGCTTGTAACTCCATGTGGGTTTGATCGGTCACAGCTCTTTTAGATAGGACATTACTTCTAGTCTGAGCTCCCAAGTGGCTTTCCTTATTTCTCTCCCAGAATGTCAACAGACTGACTGTTCCTTACCAGTCTGCTTTGTCGCTTGGCTCTAAGGAAAGCCTTGAAGCTTTCTGCTCCATATAGTTGATGCCCAGCGACATTCATCTTGTCATCCTGGGTACCCTAACATGTAACCCATTCAATATCTCTGACCTTTTATAGTTTTAATCCATCTGTAAGTACAGCCTATGTACATGTTGTTGTTGTTGTTACTGGATTTTTGTCTTGTTTTATTTTTTGAGACAGAATTTCTCTGTGTGTAGCCCTGACTGTCCTGTAACTCACTCTGTAGACCAGGCTGGCCTCAGATTTACAGAGATTCACCTGCTTCTGATTCCCAAGTGCTGGGATTAAAGGCGTGTGTCTCCAGTGCCCAAAGCTATATTGGTTTTTTGTTTTTCTTTGTTTTAAGATAGGGTTTCTCTGTTGACCTGGCTTGCTGTCCTGGATCTTGATTTATAGACCAGGCTGGTCTTGAACTCAGAGTTCTTGCCTCTGCCTCCCCAGTGCTAGGACTAAAGGGATGTGATACAATACCTGGCTAAGTACACATTATAAATTTTCCTATCAACAAGAAAATTATCTGGGTGTGGTGACACACACCTCAGCACTGGGGAGGCAGAAGTAGGCTGATCTCTGTGAGTTCCAGATCAGCCTGGTCTACATAGTGTGTTCCAGGCTTGCCAACATTACATAGAGAGACGCTGTCTCAAAAAAACAAAAAGAAAAAAAAATTAAGGTGCATGCTTGTAATTCCATCATTTAAGAGGCTAAGAAGATCTAGAGTTAGAGGCCAGCTTTAGCCACATAGTAAGTTTGAAGCTGGTCTGGTCTACATGAGACCCTATGTTTCAAACAAAACAAGACAAACAAACAAACAAAAATTAAAACAGAGCTGAAGAGTTAGTTCAGAAGTATGTTCTGTTGCTCTTGCAGAGGACCCAAATTTCCTTCCCAGCACTTACTTTGGGTGACTTAAGACTGTAAATCCTGCCGGGCGGCGGTGGTGGCAGTGTACGCCTTTAATTCCAGCACTCGGGAGGCAGAGCCAGGCAGATCTCAGTGAGTTCAAGGCCAGCCTGGGCTACCAAGTGAGTCCCAGGAAAGGCGTAAAGCTACACAGAGAAACCCTGTCTTGAAAAACAAAAACAAAAACAAAAAAACAAAAAAAACAAACAAACAAAAAAAAAACCCACCACCACCACCAAAAAATCCTGTAAGTCCTGCTTCGGGGATCCGATGCCACTTCTGGCATCTGAGGGGTCCTGTGCTCACATACCAACACACAGGCATGGGCATATACATAATTTCAAATATCCAGGCCCAGGGGCACACATTTTAATTCTAACACCTGGCAGGCAGAGGCATGAGGATCTCTGTGAGTTTGAGGCCAGCCTGGTCTACAGAATGAGTTCCAGGACAGCCAGGGTTACACAGAGAAACCCTGTCTTGAAAAACAAAACAAAACCAAAAAGAAAAAAAAAAAGAAAAGAAAGAAAAGAGCAAATAAATAAATAAATAACTCATTTTCTTGTTTGTGGAGGAAGATCCCACTAAGATTAAGATTAGAAATATGCACCACGCCACCATGCCTAACTAATAATTTTTTTTTCTTTTTAAAGAAGATTAAAGGGGGCTGTGTGGTGGTGGTGCATGCCTTTAATCTTAGCACTTGGGAGGTAGAGGCAGGTGAATCTCTGAGTTCTAGACCAGCCTGGTCTGCAAAGTGGTTCCAGGACAGCCAGGGCTACACAGAGAAACCCTGTCTTGAAACATGCCCCCCCCCCACCCCCAAAAGCAAAAGATTAAAATTAAGGCTGTTAGGACGGAATTTTTTTTTCTAGACAGAGCTATATTTTAAACATCCTTTAAATTTTTCTTATTGAGTTTATTTATTTGTGTGTGTTTGTGTGTGTGTGTGTGTGTGTATGCATGGGTATGCGCATGTGTGCACACCACAGAAATGTGTAGAGATCAGAGGACAGTTTGGAGGAGTCAAGTCCTTCTTTCCCCCATGTGGGTTCCAGGGATGGAACTTGGTTGTCAAGTCTTCCTGACCTTCCTTCACCCGCGAGCCACCTCACAGGGACCACAAGTCCCTTTAAGATGCTAACCCTTAGAGGGCAAGGCTCGTATTGATGAGGACAAATGGATGTGTGAGTAGCTAGTTCACATTCAAGCCACATTCTCAATCTTCTTATTTTTGAATTGTGCTGTTTTGACTGGAGTTTCTGATTGATTTTTCCCGTTACTGAAGCAGAACCTTTCTCTCTTTCTTTTTTTTTTTTCTTTTCTTTTTTTGGCTTAATTTCACTTATGAGTTCATTTTCTTACCCTTTAAAAATCAATTGCTACAACTTCTCATTTTCTTCTGTGAATCTTAAAGGTAAAGTTAAGTTTTTCATAGTGTGTGCTAAATTATATTCAGGGGTTGGGCCTAGGTACAACACCTGGAACCGGAATAAAGCTGAGAGATATTCAGGGGGAAAAAAACTATTTGTTTCATAGCTGAGGAAAATAGATTTGATTTCAGAGTCTTCTATCAGATTGTCCGGGTGTGAAGGGTGGTACTTGCAAGTGTATCAGATGAACTTTTCAGTGTCTGGGGAGCCCGGAGGGAATGCATTGTGGGATCCCTGATCTGGTCAGTTCACCTCCCTCCTGCAGAAAGCCTCCAGCACTGTGTGGCTCTCCTAATTGAGAAGAGTGCGCAATTAAGGAGGAAGCTACAAGGTGTTAAGGCCGATTAGCACCTATTATTCAGACAGATTTTCCCAGGCTGAGTAAAGCAGGCACCCAAGTCCCACATGCTTGCGGAAGAGATTAATGGTCCTTGACTATGTTTTTTCTGAAATAGCGATTGGCATGGGCATTGTAAAGAATCCACACCTTTCGGAAATATGAAATGGGAGCGTGAAGGAGGTTCCAGAGTTTTCCACGTGACGTAGTTTCTGGCCTAACTTACATGCCTCATGCTGCTGCTTGCTGCTGCTGGCACAGGGCAGGCTTTCCGGTGTCAAAGAAACGCGTTGCTGTCATTGTCCCAGGCAGGTTTAAATGAGTCGGTCCAGCTTGATGGGCCTAG